GGTTAACAGCACTCTCTCAACCCTGCAGCAGTGCCTGTACCTGCTCTCAATAGTAGTCTATGTCTGCCCTCTCTGTGCAGCAAGTAGCTTCTTCCTTCTGAGAGCCAAGCCTCGTTCTGAGGCTACTCTAGAGATCACATGACCTTCCTCCAGGAGGCAAGCCTCGTTCTGAGGCTACTCTAGAGATCGTATGACCTTCCTCCAGGAGGCAAGCCTCATTCTGGAACTTTACCCACTGATATCTTACCGGAAAGGTTCACTCAGAGTAAACCTTTCAGGGAGAAAATGCCTCTCTCGCGGACGTCAGGGAGCCGCTATCTAATAGAGGGAGACTCCCTGAACATCAGAGAGACTTGAGATCCCTGCTATAAAGCAGGCCTTGCGTGAAAATGGGAGTACCATTATAATGACAGCCCAAAATGTAAAAAAATCTTTGAAAATTGTGCCAGAAAGCTGAATTAGAAGACACAAAATGGATACCTCAGCCCCCACTTCCTGGTGGTGCTGGTGACTACACTATCCCTCTTCGCTGCCTTTCAGGTGCCATGAGGCATGCTGACATCACAGGCTCCTCCAGGAAGTAAGGTCTGAGGTAATAATTTTTTTCTTCTAATGCCTTTTTGTGGCACACTTTTGAAAGACTAACTCCATCTTTCTTATGTGCTTGACGTCCATTGACAGCTCCTACTGTCCCTGTAGGCCAGGGGTCTCAAAGTACCCACGTGTGTCCCAATTCTGGCCCGCGAACCTTTACTATGTGGCCTGCAGCCGGCTGACAGTTCAGGCACACAGTCACAGGCCCCATACCTGACTTGGGGGAGCAGCTACACAGTCTGCTTCTCCTTCGGATGCAGACCGCATAGCTGCTCCTGATGGAAAGGAAGGATTAGTAAGGTCTGTACCAGGCAAAGGAGCAGACTGTACTAATCCCCCACTGGACTGCCAGGGAATGTGTCCTCAAACAGCCTTTCGTATTTATGGTGAATGGCCAACGCTGGGACCCTATACACGCTGTGATACCTGAGAGGCGTCAGAGCGCTGCAGAGAACATCGGGTCCTTGGAAGAGAAGAGCGAGTCCCTGGAGCCCCAGCAGTGACAGTCCCTGGAGCTCCAGCAGTGACAATCCCTGGAGCCCCAGCAGTGACAGTTCCTGGAGCCCTGGATACCCACCATTCCTGGAGCCCCAGCCAGTGACAGTCCCTGGATACCCCACGTTTCTGGAGCCCCAGTAGTCCCAGCAGGTCAGGGACTGGAGAGGGGCAACACACACCTGCAGCTGGGTGATTGCACAGACTGAGGTCACTCAGCTTCCCCCCCTCCTACCAGTGCTGATGGTGGATGAAGCTCCTGACACAGGTGAGGAGCCCAGGGGTAGGATTATGAGACAGGTGAGGGGCCCAGGGGTTGCAGTATGAGAGAGATGAGGAGCCCAGGGGTGGCATTATATGACAGGTGAGGGGCCCAGGGGTTGCAGTATGAGAGAGATGAGAAGCCCAGGGGTGGCAATATATGACAGGTGAGGGGCCCAGGGGTGGCAGTATGAGACAGGTGAGGGGGCCAGGGGTGGCAGTATGAAGTAAGTGAGGGGTTGAGAGCAGGAACGTGCGGTCAGGGGAGGCAGAGCCTCACCTAGTATTATGGAGGAGCGGTATTAGTATTATTCAGAGCGGCTTGTAACAAGTTACACAGCAGGGAAAGTCTCCCCACTGTGTAACCTGTCATGAACGGAGCGCTGCCTGTTAATTACAGGCAGTGCTGCATCCGGCTTTTGACAGGTAGTTAGGCTACACAGCAGTGGGCTTCTGCTTGTGTAACCTAACATAGTGAGGCAAGAGCTGTCACAGCCTCTACTCTGTGATAGAGGTGTGAGCTCTGTGGATGGTTTGGATCAATGACAAAGCACCATTGGTGCAAGCTGTCCAATCAAAAAAAGAAAAAAACCCACTGAGGCCATCGATCTCGATGCCTCAGCAGTGATGAGCAAGCGAGGGACAGGGAGGCTCCTCCCTGTATCCTCCCTTCCTGCTTCACACTAGCTTGGGTACCAAGTTGGGGGGCAAGGCTTTGGCGGGCTGGGGGTGGGGTTACAACTGGATATGGGTGTGGCTTCGGCAGGCTGGGGCCAGGGCTGGTCATGCTGGGGGCGAGGCTGGGGAATGCCTCACTCGGAACCAAAGGTACTGCATGTCACTGGTTGAAAGGTGGCAGTATAAGACAGGTGAGCCTGCAGAGATTCATGGGGCCCCACCAAGGAGCCAGCGGGTGCCTAAGAGAGCTCTGCTGCTTCCTGTCCGATCGCCCGGACAGGAAACGGCTACTAAAATCCTCAACTAGGCCCATAATGCTCTTAATCCAGCCCTGACTGCAGACCTATACACATGTATGCATACTAATATGACACACATATATACCGACACTGCACACATATACACACTGATATGACACACACATATACCGACACTGCACACATATACACAATGATATGACACACACACAGAAACATTAACACACATAGCAACTTCACTCACAGAAATCCTGACAATACACACAGACAAACCATCACAAAAATATACTGACAATGCATACAAAGAAAAGATATCAAGTTATCCTTTACCGCAGGTCTTCCCTGTTTATAGTAATATAATTTACAATTGAAATCAGAGCCGTAGCTAGCTCCTTTTGCGCCCGAGGCAAGAACGGAAAATTGTGCCCCCCAACAGACGTGTGCGGTATGTGACGTCATGCGTCCCGTCTCCAGAATGGCGGCGCGCATGCACAGAATGCGCTGGTGGACAAATCCAAAATAGCATAAAAATTTGTTTCGTTTGACGAAACTAATGAAAACATTGTTAGTTTCCGTTCATTTATTCCGAAACAAATTTTTAGTCTTTGCACATGTCTAGTAATATGTGTGCATGAGTGAGTGTGTGTGTGTGTGATTGTTTGTTTTTTAATTTATTTTTTATTATTATTTTTTTTGTTTACTGTTTCGGGGCTTCGGGGAAATATTAGGGGTCTAAACAGACCCCTGACATTTTCCTTTTTGAAATAGAAAAAGAGATTGAGGACACAGAGTGGGGTAGGGGAGAGCAGTAGGGATCCGAGGAGAAGCTGGAGCCCGTGCCGCTCCTCTTCTCCCTGCTGAGCCGCGACTGTGTTGGCCACCTGGCGCCCATTGTTCGCCATGGCAACAGGGCCGAGGGGGCGCAGCCAGGCGGGCCCTGGCTGCGCCCCCTCAGCTGCGCCTGAAGCGAGTGCCTCACTCGCCCCATGGTGGCTACAGTCCTAATTGAAATGACTTGGGATTTTTTATGTTTTCCATGGAATGACTGGTAAATGACACAATGGAATGCACATAGAGTATATTGGGAAGAAAAATGGGACTTGCAGTAAGAATTTTTTGACGTATCAAATAAATCATTAGAAGACACACTCTACCCACACAGTGGCATATTCTAAAATTGAGATTAGGTGGGATTATCATTAACTTCTATAGAATGACAAGGGTTTCAAGAAACTTTTGGACGATTTCTTAAGGGACCGTAATATACAGGGGTACAGGTACTCCTAGAATGAGATCCTAATAGGTTGGACTTGATGGACTAATGTCTTTATTCAACCTCAAATACTATGTAACTATGTAAATGACACCAAGAATGCCCATAGAGTATAATGAGTAGAAAGATGGGCCTTGGAGTCAGAGCCATTTGACACATCAAATAAATCTTTAGCAGGCACACTCTCCAAGCACTCTGCCATTTTTCAACATTGAGGTTAGGTGGGATTAACATCATCTTCTATGGAATGACAAGGGCGAATGACACAATGGAAGGCCTATAGACAATAATGGAAAGCAAAGTATCAGATAATTTGTAGGCAAAGCTGAAAAAAGATATCAAGTTATCCTTTACCACAGGTCTTCCCTGTGTATGGTAACAGAGTTTATACTTGAAATGACTGGGGATTTTTCATGTTTTCCATGGAATGACACAATATAATGTCCATAGGGTATAATGGGAAGAAAGATGGGCCTTGGAGTCAAAACTATTTGACACATCAAATACATTTTTAGCAGGCTTACTCTCCTAGCACAGTAGCATTTTTCAAAATTGAGATTACATGGTATTTTTATTCTTTCCTATAGAATGACAAGGGCGAATGACACCAAGAATGCCCATAGAGTATAATGAGAAGAAAGATGGGCCTTGGTGTAAGAGCCATTTGAGGGATGAAATAAATCTTTAGCAGGCACACTTTCCAAGCACAGTGCCATTTTTGAAAATTGAGATTAGGTGGGATTAACATTATTTTCTATAGAATAACAAGGGTGAATGACAGTCAGTGGTATGGGCATCCCCTTACCTGGTCAAAGTCTATGAGCATTCCATTCTGTCATTCCTTTTAGTATGCCCCCTCTTTTATTCTAGGTAAAGATGCCAAGCTGTAGGCCGGTAGCAGGCCCTGGTCACCGGACCTCAGAGCCATCCAGCCTCCAGAACTAGGGTTGCAGCAAGTGGGTAATCTGATGGGGCCCCTCGGGGTGATTAGGCAAGGCCGGCTATTGGCAGTTAAGGTAATAAAATGATGATCAGGTGGGGAATTAACGATAACGTCAACTATGAACATGTAAAACATTGAGGCAGTTCTCTAGGGGGAGTACCCCAAAATCGTACGCCCCCTCTTTTATTAATGTGTGTGCATTATTTTTTTTAAAGGTGGACTTTGCCTTTATAGTTATTCTATTTAATCCGTGTTTTTTTATTTAAGGTCAGCTGTAACAAAAGGAGGCATCCCTACTTCCATAGCGGTGTCTTTTCTTTCTCTGGAATCGGGCTTTAACACAGTTTTAATCATTGCTGATTGTAGATTGGACACGAAATAATGATGGAGGATGAATCTAACGGCTCTATGTCTCGCAGCAGCAGAGTATCAGGCGGGTTGCTGTACCCCGCTTTGGCCAGCAGAGGGGGCGGTAGGCACGGACGTCTGGTCTATAGGAAGTTATTGGTCATCCCACGTGTTCTGTATACGGCCTGCTCTGCGCTCTCCTCCATATCGCCTACACGAAGACATCATGCCCACCTTCGAGCTCTTCACTAACGTGCCCAAGGATGCCCTTCCAGAGGATCTGTTGGGTAGTCTGACCGAACAGCTGGCAAAAGCCACGGGCAAGCCGGCAGAGGTGAAGTATAATGGATGAAGCGGGGTGGGTGGGAGGGAGAGGGGCGCCTGGTACCCGGTCTATGTCATACACCTGCTGGATGTAGATTCCCTGTACGTGTCCATCATGTTGCAGGACTAGACCCAGAGAGATATCAGGACCAGCAGATCATCGGTGTAGTCTGTGGACATGGGCACTGATTACTGTATAACCTGTCATCTGATGTGAGGATGACACTCAATAACAGTCTTACTGTGTATGGACAATCACTGGTGCCAATCATCAGGATGTTGGGTCACCAGGTTGTCCTGTGGTAACCCCAATTGTTCTCTGCTAAATATTGAGATAGTCTAGACACATTAAATTCTTCCAGTGTGCCTCATAGCGTTTTGTAATGATTGATCATTCCAAGGCTAAGAAGAATGCAGATTTAAAGCAATTTTGGAGGTGTTAATGCCTGTGTCAGATTCTGTTGCTGTGTCTCCTTCAGTTGTCACCTGTAATAATGGGAGGTGAAGATCTCCCAATTGTGACACCTGGTGACAGGGACAAATGAGAGGTGGGATTTCCCTTCAGGTTGGGGAGATTTGTCTTCACTTTCTGTTGTGATTCTGGCACAGGAAGTGGGTGTAAACTAATCAATAGGACGCAGACTTCATAAAATTCTGACTACCGGTAGTATAAGGGTTTGGTAAGAGTGACACTTTGAATCTTGGTATTCTATAAAGCAATCAGGATGGAGCGTGATCATTGCTGATAGTGATGGGGGGTGATGCAGTATTGAAGGGCGGCTGTGTAGAGCAGTTCTGTCAGCAGCTCTCTGTCCAGTCCCGTCCTGATGTCACTGGTTGCCAGGAGCTATGCGGGACACCAGCCAGAGTGTCCCGCTCAGCTTCCTGGCAACCGATGAAGCCGAACAGAGTGTCACAAGTTGCTAAGAGTTGTGGCCACCCCCTAATGAGATGCTGCCTGAGGCGATCAGCTCAGGTTGCCTCATTATCGGGATAGCCCTGCAACCCCTTAGCTGCTCTGTCAGTTGCAGGCTTTCTGACTTCATTAAGTACAGTTCAGGCTAGTAGCCGTGCATTGTACATCAGGAGGCCAAGGGACCATCCACAACTTGGAGCATCAGGGAGAAGAGGAGAGCATCGGGTGCCCGAGGCACAGAGATGAGGTAAGTAAAAGTCTCTTTCACTTGTACCCTAGGCATAAGCAAGCATTGAACCTTTGCAGCTCAGGGGTGTCTCACTGCAAGGTTATTCTTTTCTTCTCCTCGGAAGCCAGCTTAACCACCTCCCATCCTCCAAACTTTCAGAAACGGCCGGACGAGAGCCTTCTGGATGCAGGTGGCCGTCTTTAAATTTCCTTTGCGCCCGCTCGCGTGCACCCCCTGGAGCGCGAAGAGCGGTAAACTGACAGAATTTGAAACGGCCAGCAATGCCTGTTTACATACAAACAGTCCGGCGTCTGTATAGCCGCTCGATCGCTTGTATGATGCATCTCTCCCCACACAAAAAATATTAAAGACCCCCAACCCCACATAGATGCGCAAAAATGCTTTAGGTGCACCTACACGCAAAAAACGCCAATTATGCAGCATTTGCTACATATCGCGCGTCAGAGTGTGAGCAATCATTCTACGGCCATCAATCACTGTTAACACTAAACTGATGAGCAGTAAAAGCTTTTAAAGTGTCGCCTATGGCCAATTCTGGGTGTGGTAGTTTTTCTGTGATTTCGTGGGCGTGCACAACTTTAAGGCTTGACATGTTTGGTGGCTATTTACCCGACATGACCCCGTCTTTTATATTTTACCAAAAAATTGGGTAATAAATGTTTCCTAACACACATTTTTTTTTTTAATTTTCATTATATAGTAAAAATAAAAACCCCGTAGTGGTGATTAAATACCACCAAAAGAAAGCTCTATCTGTCCCCACAAAATGGTATAAAATTCATGTCAGTACAGCGTTGTACGACGGAATAAATGTCAGTCAAAGTACCGCAGCGCTGAATACTGAAAAATGGCCTGGTCAGGAAGGGGGTGTAAACACCCTGGTCATCAAGCGGTTAAACTCTATATTGGGGGAGGTCAGAGAGCTCTCACACAGAGAGTGGGCATGGATTTGGAATACTTGGTGTGGATATCTACATGTCTTAAAAGTTAGTGTTCCCATCAGCTGTACATAGGAGCCCTCAGCTCCAATACAAGCAGTGGGCTGGCTCTTTGAAGGAATTGAACAAACATTGCAATGCCTTTACTGGTAAATGCCAGTCTGGAGTTGTGGGTATTCCTATGCAGACTGTATTTGCATGCAGACTACCCTAGGTAATGCCCACATGTGATGCTGAGCCTCCATGATTGGAAGAACTGAAATCCAATCATTGAAAGGGACGAGCAAGGGAGAGTCAGGCTGGAGAGAAAAGAGCTAGATGATGCTGGATATCCTCCAGCCAGGAAATGAGGCAGACTCTATCTGACTTGCTTCAGCTTCTAATACACACTGTGAGAAGTTCAGAGTGTGCAGTGAAATCAGAGTAACCAATTTTAGTCCTGGAGTCTAACATTGTGTAAGATGGCAGATAAGCCTGGAGCTCAGCTTAAGGTCCCATTCACACTGAGCGATTCGCAAATCGCGCGACACATGTGTCGCGCGATTTGCATTTTGCGCGGTTTGTCGCGCGATATAGCGCAAATGGTTGCATTGAGCAAACTAGAATCGCGGCAAAATCCGCTCCAAAAAGGGTCCTGCTGTAGCGATGCGCGACAGCGACGGACAGAGCCCCATTGTAAATAGCTGCTGTACAGAATTGAGTCATTAAGATTAGACAATGATTGGGACTCATGGCCTGGGGGTGATAGGACCATATCGGAGGGATTTAAAGCCATTGGAGCCAGTACAGGGAGCTGGAAGGAATAATGGAAGAGTGTCAGCATATTCACAGTATGCTTGTCCTATTAGATCATTGTGAAAATGTATTGCTTGGATAAATCTGCAGCTCCAGTTTATTCAGTTATTATGTTAGCGGGAGCAAGTGCTGCCAGGAAATCTGTTCATTCCCATTGTTTTCAGACTTTGTGCACACCATCAATGTTTCAAGTTTGTAGGCTTCATACTCTATTTATGATTAATCACAGTGAGGAACAAGTACAGTGTACATGACTTGTAATCGTTAAACTGAAAAAAGCTCAGCAATTGCATCCACATAAGTAAAAAACGATTGATTAGAATGACTTCATCGCATACAGATACAGTTTAATCTTCTATTATAGTAGAATTAAACACTAATTATTTTTTTTTGTAGATATATGTAAAAAGTTACCAAAAAGGTTATAACTTGCCTGTGTCACCGCCTCTCACCCCCGTCTGAAGATCTGGCGCTTCTCCAGCGGCCGAGCAGGATGATGGGGCAGGCGCATGCCCAGTAGAGATCTTCGGCGGGGAGAAGAGGAGAAACTCAGTGGAGCTGAATGAATGCGGCCGTGAGCATGCACGTCGGACAGACACCGTGGGACCCGAGGAATCTGCGCTGGATCAGAGACCGGCACCAGCGCTGGAGGGATTGCTGAATACAAGTGGAAGGAAGAAGATGGTCAGATCAAGAGGCACCATTTAAGGTAAGTCCATAAAGCAGCATGAGGGGGGGAGGAAATTAATTGGGACTTTAAATGTCACTTTAAGCTTGAAGCCATTTAGAAAGCTTCCTTGTTGGATGGATTGTATCATGAGATATGCCTACAGGAGTGTAGCTATTGTACAGAATAGGGTTCAGGGGTGTGGAAATTTAAAAAAAAAAAAACTACTTGTCCAAGGACTAAAGCGGGGGCCCGATCTACTTGTCCCTCATGACAATCTACATGTCCTGATAGAATTTTATTTTTTTTTAACCAAAACCGTATTTAGCAGTGCCAATAAGAGCTTTTCATTGGTCAGTGCCGTCAGGTGACCGCACTGACCAACGAGTACTGCAATTTGTGAGCAAAATTCAGAATACATGGCACAGGTACAGATAGTACACCCGTACTGGAGGACGGGAAGGACCGTTCGCTGAAAGAAAAGTATAACGGGGGGAAGGATAGGGGGCCGGATTTGTGCAGGTAATTCCATTTTCCCAAATTACTTGGGAAAGTGGATTTACCCTTTGGGGCGGGTGCAGACTTGGGCAATCGTGTGCAGTTGCATACAGCAGTTGCCACATGGCCCCATTGATTTTAATGGGGTTACATCCGCGTGGTAATCACTGGAAAAAATGGTACATGTACCTTTTTTTGTGACATGCACCATGTAGTGTTTTCAACCGGAAACTGCGCAATCTGCCTGGCGAGACTGGGGTACCATTAGACAATAATGGCACTGCCAGCGCAATTGGCGGTGGTGTGCGTTTCTGTGACCGCCTGGCCATCCACACGATTTTGTTCACGATTGCCGTGCGCTCACACACTCTGCCCTGTGTGTGCGTTTATTCACATGCAGATGATAGGTGCAGTGGGCTTGGTTTTAATTTTTTAGATTTTTATATGGGCTAACAATCCCCTGTGTGATAGCTTTTGGAGGTGACAGGTTCTCTTTATTGACCCTGTCACCTCCAACACAGGAGTTCTAGCACAGCTCTGTGCTCGTTCTCCTGTGACAGGAAGGCTGCATTCCTCTGTCACTATTCACACGGAGCAGGGCAGAGAAGCTTTCTAACCTAATCTAATTTGCCGTGGTCACGGGTCCCCCACAAGAGCAGGGTACCCCGAAGACCACGGCAGAAAGGAATCAAGCGTGCAGCGAAAGGCAGCCGGGAGCGGTACACGGCCGCCGGCGGTGGGGAGGGGGTGTGAGATTCAGACAGGTTACAAGTGATTTTGTACAGCCGTTCAAGATCACTTGTACAAAACCGCTCCCACGCTACATTTAGCCGTGCTGCCTGCCTGCAGCAGGGCTAAATGTAGAAAATGCCTGAAACAGCCTGTCCTGGGCGTCGTGTGATAGGAATTTTTTACCCCTGCGGGTTTGTGTGTGATCTGCTTGTATACGGAGTGCACGAGGGCAACGTAGGATCAGCAGCTTGTCAGGATTCAGAGGAGCTATTGAGGTTCTTCGTGTGCCTGACAAATACATTCATCTCCTGAGCCTTTATTGCTTTTTATTATAGGAGATCTGAGTGCCTTGGGTAATATACAATGACAATATGTAAAATGTCATTGGATGATAAAAGGTTACAACTTTCCTAAAAAAAGGTATACTGGAAAAGGTTTTGGGGATGAGACTAAATACAGATTAGGAAATATCTAGTTCTAACACAAGAGGGTTGTCCTCAATTCATATACTCGCTTGCCTAAGGAATCCAGTGCTGTGCCGCCATCTAGGTCCCTTTTCAGTCACTGGGAGTTGGCTGCCTCTTTCAGGCTCAATGGCAGACAATGGTAAGTATTAAGCGCACTCAATTGTAAGTGGACACTAAGGGGGGCTTCAAGGCGTGGAGGTGTCCTGCGAGGCAACTGTGAAGATAGAACAAACAGAGGAGCGCAGCGACCTAGTGCAATAAGAGTCGTGTGGCAAAGTAAGATTGAGTATCCATACCAACACGTGAGTGCAATCCTATTTTCTTCACTCTTACTTTGCCACATTGTGCTAGGTCGCTGTGCTCTTGTGTTTTTGTTCTCTCGTTACACTTCCAGGTTCTGGCAGCCGGGCCCGCTGTGTGCGCCCCGCTTCTGCAGCCGCCTGGGATATATGCTGAGATAATTCTAAAAATGCTGGTTGCCTTGCTGTTAAGCTTGGCCACTGGCTTCAGTAGATTAGTCACTGACACAAGTACTGTGTGCCGATCAGGAAAGTCTGAGGTCCCTTGCAAGTTACTGAGAATATGGAAGCTAGAGAGCAGCCACATACTGAAACTAGTGCATTTTGAAGACGCCAGCATGGTGGCCACAATGTTTCCCTCATGACATGTTTGTTTAACCTTTTCATGACTAGAGTTTTTTTGGAAGCTTAAACACCCAGACCAAGTTTAGCATCATTGATATGAATCAGTTAACTTGGCAGTAGCTCCATAGCTTCATTCACATGGGTATACACATCCATATGGTGCACACATCTGTGCAGAGACCTATGAGAGGACACGGCTACATGCCAGCCTGCACATCCGTCCAGGACTGTGTGTGCAGTGCAGGCACCTGGACCGGCACAGATGTGCAGGCTCGGGTCTTCGTGAAGCCGTGTCTTCTCATAGGGATGCATAAGCAGCTGCACATACTGCACGGATGTGCACACCCAAGTGAATGAGGCCTTTGACTAATTTTCCTGATTGATAGCCTCTCTGCGAACTCGGAACACACAAAGGTGCACATTCCTGGTACTCTGCTGCAAGGTTAATTATCATCCTCACAGCAATTCACATTTGTAGTAAATAGTGGTTTGGGTGAAGGCGGAGATGCTGCCTAGCTTTATTTTACCTTCAATTTGACTTTAAAAGATTTGATGTTTTTTTTAAGCCTTCATTTAATTTTCTACCCTGTCTTGTTTTTTTCCCTTCTACAGTACATTGCCGTGCATATTCTGCCCGACCAAGTAATGAGCTTTGGTGGCTCAACAGAGCCTTGTGCTCTATGCAACCTGAAAAGTATTGGCAAGATTACAGGCCAGCAGAAGACTTACACCAAGCTATTGAGTGGTATACTAAGCAAAGTTCTGCACATCTCCCCTGACAGGTAAGTCTTCTGGTCACTACATGTAATGCTAGTTATAGTGAACTAGTCTTAAAGAGACCCTGTTATCAACTTAAAATATTGCAAATAAAAGCACAGAAACTCAAGTATTTTAAGTGCTTACTTTGATTCACTTGTGTCTCTGAACTTGCTAGAAAATTGGACTACTACTGAAGTGTCAAATCCCTAGTACGGACTCCTTCCTCATTGCAGGCCATAGCTCTCGCCTCTTCTGGGAGTGTCTAATTACTCTCCGTGCTGGCCCAGCTCCTCGGTCCCTCCCCTCCCTGCATTTTATCTAGCACCTGGAGAAGACGCAAAGGGGAGTAATATAGATTGTCAATCACAAACAGGAAAAACAGTGTGCTAAACCCTACCATTGTTGCCATGGTTACAAGGAAGCGGCATGCTCATTTGTGGTAGTTTAGGGAAGTTTATGACTGCAGAAAGGAAAGATCATTTCCAATAACATTAGATCTGAAAGTGCCATATGTATCCTAAATAACAGCTGTCACCATTGTGTACAATAGGTGACCCCCCAGTAATGTTACTGTTTGTGCTGTGACCCAAGCACTGTGTTCTCCAGAAACAGACAAGGTCCCAATTCATTGCTGTGCTTGTGAACAGTAATTGCTGATAATGTTTTGAACTGGTTATCAGCTCTGTGTTTAAAAAGGGAGGAGGTTTCTGAGTTGGCAGGGTGCATTTTTTTTATTGACATGGCATGCAGCTGAGAAGTATTTCAGATCCTAATATATAGATGCCTTGCTGCACTACTTACCGGTATAGGATGTTCCTTAAAATCCTGGTGGGTGCTCGTAGTGACCACGGATAGCACCGTGAAGATATACAAGTTTGCAAAATGAGTACTGTCATTCCAGTACAAGCGCTTTCGGGGCCGCACAGGCGAAAGCGCTTGTACTGGAATGGCAGTAATCCATTAATAAATGGACTTTTGTTGAGTTCACTTAAATGATGTGCTGGTGACATCCTTTTGCAAACTTGTATTTTACATCTGGTCTCTATCTGCTGCTTCATGGACATGCCTCTGTTACCTCTTTCTGCTCCTTGTAGAAAGGAAATACTCACATGTCAACTGAAGCAGGTTCAAGCCTGGGCAACCACTTCTGCCTGTTTGATGTGAGGTAATGGCGCTGAATGGCTGCCTCTGCCTAGGCACATAGAGCTGTGGCAAAGAGGCAGACGTGGATCAGAAAACAGTGGGCTTGGAGGGAGGCTGAACCAGCTAACACAGGGGATTATGCTGCAAGCACACCAAGGATCTCTCAAAGTCCAGATTTGTATTAGTGATTACTAGGGATGCACCGATACCAGTATTTCGGTACAAGTACCAATATTTTTTTTTTTTTTCGGTACTCGCCGATGCCGACTAGCGGAAGTCCCATTCAGGAAGCCGGGCGGCGAGTAATGACTCGCCACCTGGCTTCCTGATTAGCCGGGCGGCATGTAAAGACTCGCCACCTGGCTTCCCGATTAGCAGGGAACCCTTCCCCATGCTTTGGGTTACTATGTGACAAGAAAGCATGGAGCCGGCTTTCTGGCCAATCAGGAAGCTGGGCACCGTATAGTGACGCCACGCCCAGCTTCCTGATTGGCCGTGAAGCCGACACCATGCTCCCTCGTCACGAGGTGACTAGGGAGCATGAAGCCGGCTTCCCGGCCAATCAGGAAGCCGGGCGTTGCGTCATTACCCGCTGCTTAGCTTCCTGATTGTGCGGGAAGCTGGCCAATCAGGAAGCCGGGCAGCGAGTAATTACATGTACTTTTATATAGTAAAAAATATAAACCCCCCAGTGGTGATTAAATACCACCAAAAGAAAGCTCTGTCTGTCCCCAAAAAATGGTGTATCATTTTCAGTACAGCGTTGCATGATGGAATAAATGTCAAAGTACTGCAGCGCTGAATGCTGAAAAATGGCCTGGACAGGAAGGGGGTAAAAACATCTGGTCAGCAAGTGGTTTCATTAACAAAAATAGAGCAGTGTATGGCCAGCTTTAGAGACGTCTCTAACAGCTGAAGGAATGTGATCTATAACCTGTTGTGCAGCTACTACTGCAGTTTACAGTCAAAGGCTTACCAAGTACATATAAACTGACTTTGTTACTGCTAATTTTTTGCTGACTTTTTTTTTTTTTTTTTTTTTTTTTTTTTAAACCCTGCTAACGTGGGCTGGAACAACTCTACATTTGCTTAATTGTACCCCAGTGTCAGCCACAACAACGGATTGACAAGACTCCTCTTCTGTAATGCATTCCCTCTTATAAATAAACTTCTTACATGAAATGAAGTGATTTGTTTTGTATCTGTAATATGCTTGGGAATAAAAGGGTTTGCCTAGAGATGCACTTTAAATTTCTGGTTGAAGTATGGATGAATCCAGTGTTGAACATACAATAATAGAGGAAAGAGGGGGTCAAAACATTTTGTTTAAAAGGTATCTCTGGATGTGCATTTATTTATAAGACATTTTATAGAGTGGGGAGGGCTTTGACCCCTGAGGGGAATTCACCCCTCTGTTTGACTATTGTCCCTGAGAAAGGAAAAAGAGAGGGTTTGTCCAAAATTTTAGAGCTGTCCCCAGAACAAGGTTAGGGGAAAACTTTCAATTGGGACACTTATTTCGGGGAGAACTGTCTAAGCAGAATTCCCCTCACTTTGGGAGATTTCCTGTTGCCTTTCTGGGACTTGAAAGACAATTTAAAAATAAACTGCCAGGGGTTTTAATCCTTCTAAACCCTATCCTAAACAAAAAAAAATTGGGGGGATATAAATACACTTTAATATTCAATATAAGGCGCCTAAAAGATAAATTACACTTTTTTTTAAACTGATGTTATTGATTTGAACAGACTTATTTAAAGTGACACTTAACTCTCTTTCAATCTTAAAAAGTACTATAACTATCAACAGAAATCTTTTGTGTATCACCTCAGTTGTAGATCCTCAAATCATCTCTGAATTGGTGCTGACACTGTCCTTCCTTCTGGAGGGGGGCTACTTTTGTTGCCCATGGTCCCTGTGTGTTGAAAAAGGAGCCACCGCTCCAAGCTCACTCCTGTGATGGACTACAATCTCAGGTTTAGTTTACTCATTTGTATTTTGTTAAAGAACTGAGGTGAGTGATTTCCGCTCATCCTCATAATTGTGACAGAGAAGCAATAGCCCGCTATATACTGAGCTTTGGGTCACGGGAGGAGGTTAGTATATGTCCTCCTGTGACCCTAAAGAGAACTATGGGGGAAAAACACTGACCCCATAGTCTTTTAACAGTTAAGGTACTTTAATGCATTGTAAGAATTAACTCCTGAGTTTAAAGTCAAAACATTTTTTTCCCTCCCCCCCATGTTAATGTTAGCACTTACCTTAAATGGAGATGCTCCTCATGTATCACTTCCCCCCTCCCTTTTAGATTGTAAGCCCTCAGGGGCAGGCCCCTCCTTTGCCATCTTGTCTTGAATTGTATTGTGATTGTAATATCTGCCCTATATTGTAAAGCGCTGCGCAAACGGTTGGCGCTATATAAATCTTGTATAATAATAATAATGTCTTTTATTCCGATCTTCTTTCCTGATGTTTTCATCTGTCCCTCCAACGGTGCGGCGGCTCTCTGATCCAGCGCTGACACCTCTCTGCTTGCAGGCACTTCCGATCCAGTGGTGTCTGCAGGCGGGTGCACGCGTCCATAGACTTACCTTGCGTCTCTGCTCGTCTTCCGGCCGAGAATCAGAACTGCGCATGCGCCCGCCCCAAGATCCTTTGCGGCCGTACGAGCAGTTCCTGATTCTCGGCGCAGGAGCACGCGAAGAAAAAAAGGTAAGTTAAAACCGCTGTTTTAGCGTTTTTTTTTTTTTTTTAAACTGTTTGCCTATATCTACTGCTTGGTAGCAGTAGATATAGGCAAAAAAACGGGAGGCTTTAGAACCCCTTTTTATGTCACTTTAACACCAGCACTGTGATATTGGGTTGCTACATTTTTGCTGCAATGACTGCTTCCAAATGCTCCAAGTTTTTTAGTATCAGCCTTTCACATTGCAGAAGATACATTGGAGACACTTTTCCCAGCAGAACCAATTTACTTCAGATGAGTATAAACTGCTGCTTTCAGCTTATATTACAGTATGTCTATTTTGTTTTGGATCTGAATGATAATCACAGCAGTCAAAAAAACAATAAGGTAAACTTCTCATGAGAAACATGAAGCCTGCCATTGCTGGACTCTCACTCTGAAAATGCTTCTTTCCTGGCTTTCATGCTGATCACCTTGTTTTAGGTCACTGGCCTTGATCAGTTATGCACATAAGGACTGCAGACTTTTCAGATCTGCATACTTGTTCTGAATGAGTGACCTAACTCACCAAACCAGAGGGTTAGCATTACAGCCAGGCAACTAGCATGTTCAGGAGGAGGCCAGCCATGGTATCCTCTGTATTTATACATTAACATTAAGGGCCCTTAAGGACTCGGTTTTGCATCAACCCTTCTTGTAATGATGTGCAGCATTAGGGTAGCCTACTCATTTTGAATGGGCTGGAAGAGCACTTTTAACACCCCAAAAAGCAGACCTGCTCAATTTTTATTACACAGCTCAATGCAATGTACATAATGGGTGTTGTGCACTGTGGTGTATTGTCCATTAGTGCAGTGCACATGTAGCGGTAATGTTTTTTTAAACATGTATATCACGTGTTACCATTATGTGACTATCTTATTACGCCCTGAAGTAAACTGTCATGAGAAAAATATAGAGGCTAAAAATTCTAATTTCCTTTCTGTCATATGGACTTTCTGGTTTTAATCATGAGAGTAATTGACGTGGAATAAGTAAGCAGATTTGGAGCTGTGACCTAATTTGCTGCTTACTTGGTTAGTGACTCATAATGTAGCTCAAGGCATTTTCAGAAGAGAATAGTTAGGGACATTTCAATTTCTTTGTGTTTTCAAATAAATAAGAAAAATAACACATTTTCAAATTGTTTTAATTTTTTTTTTTTGGTCAAATATGAAGCATTGCATATTCATTTTTCTGGCACTTCAATCTTTTTATATTTCTTCCAGAATCTACTTGGCAGTCAGTTGTAATACTCCTCTTGTCAGACACTCAAGCCAAAAGTTACACAACTGGCTCATTCCATATTAAAAAGCTTAGTCCAAAGTTCCAGGCAGACTGCTACTCGTATGCTGTCTCTTTAGATAACCCATCGTGCTTTGGGAGTCGTTTTGTAGTTTATAAATAAAACAAAGATTTATATACACACACAAAGCATCAGTTTAAAAAATAAAATTTACCAAAAACCATTACGATTTGCTTTTAGCACATTTTTGATACATAGCAGTATTCACCATATTTGACTTTATTTGTGGCAAATGGTCTAGAATCATGACAAGCAAAAGATTCCCACTGCATCTGACTATTGATATGATCATTGTTCATGGAATTCTGTGTTTGCTTTGTGCTAAAGTTCCATATTTATCTTGAATGTCTATAGAACATTTTCTGAAAAGGTTTTGGGATCATCTGGTTAGTTTTTCCTGAGAGATCAGCAGTTGTTCAATATCAATAATTCCTGTGTTTCCTGCTGTCTTTCTGATTTCGGATAACAAACCTTGAGCTCTGAGCAAGACAAGACTTCAGTTTTTTGGATGTTTATTTATGATCCTTAATAACTTCATGCTGTGTCATTGGCAACGTTGCCAGGCCCACCATCCTGGGATGTTACTGATTCAAGTGCTTTTTGTTTGGAGTCAATGGCTTTCACTGTGGTTTAGAAATGGCTCTGTTGCCCTTTCCATACTGATGTCAATGGAATCTTTCTTTGTGGTCTGGAGGTTTGTGTCGGCAACCTGAATTCGATGGGAAGTGACAAAATAGATGATGTTTATGATGACCGGGGCTTGCTGTATTTAAGCCTAGCTGGGTTTGGTATGCTGAATCTAATTATTCCCTTAATTGGGTTAAATGACTACAAAATATATAACGCCCTTCATATATTCTGATATTTTGCTGCCTATATACACTCCTTTTTAATGAGTAGAGAACATCTAAAAATGTCAATTGTGTCTAAGCAGTACCTAAAAACGCGACTCAAATGTATGCGCATAAAACGCACACAAAAAAACTCTTGTAGAAACAAGCAAAAACGCTGTCCCATAGGTGTGAATGCAACCTGAATTCCTCCTGAGGAAAAAAAAAAAGTGTACTTCCTGGTATGCATATATACCTCCTAGCTGTATGCTTGCTATGGTAATCTCAAGCACTGCTACTTACTGTGAGGGCTCTTTCACACGTGCGGCAAAACCAGGCGCTGGAGAAGCTATTTTAACGCCTCCTCTGCCGCCTATTAACACCCATGTGTGATAAAACAATAGCAACCGCCCAGTACAGTTCACACATGGGCGTCAGCGTTGCGGCAAAAAAAAGATTGCATTTCGAGTTCTGGAGGCATTGCCCCTGGAATACTGCCTCCATAGAAGTCTATTGAACTGCCTTTGAAACACTCGTTCAACGCTCTCTGGAGCGTTGACAAGGCATTAAACAAGTGTTTCACAGGCGGTTTTGCAATAGGAGGGACCCCAAGTTAAATAGTGAAAACAAAAATGTGTGTGGGGTCCCCCTCCTGATCCATAGCAGATCCTTTAGGTCTGGTCGGAAAGTTAGGAGGATTTTACTTGCAAAATTTTATTTTTTATGTACTCTATATAGAAAAATCAGTTAAAAAATGCAGTTTTTCCAAGCAAATCCAGTATTTGGAGAAAAATGCATAACTTATCCGTCAAAGAAAACTGCAGGTACATGCGTTGTGTGAGAATGGGCAAAAACAAATGTAACTTCTCTTGTGGTCGAATGTTTTTCAGTAGGTTCGTTTATAAAGAACAGAGTGAATGGAGAAATTCTGTATTATTGACCATGGTTCTGAGGATCCTAAGAAATGTTAAAAAAGAGATACAATATTACAAAACTTTTTCTTAAGTACTCGCCAATACCAATACTTTTTTTTTTTAGTGTCTTGTGACTGTTTGTTTTTTCTAAAACAATACAGACCAATGATTTTAGGACAGTGGGGGAGCGCCAGAACCACCTTTTAGCAGCAATAACTTGAAGTAAATCGTTTTCTGCATGACTTCATCAATCTCTCAGTGTACTTTCTTTCTCACACAACTGTATGTTACTGGCCACAATACAAAAAAACATTTAGTGGTGTATGTGATGTGATGCATTAGAATCAGAAATTCCTTTGATCCTTTTCTGTCATTTTGGAATCTCTTG